TATAAACAATTTCATCCTATTTTGAAGTATTTTTCCTACTTTTGCCACCACAGTCTGTACTTTAAATGTGCACGACAAATATAAGAGTTAAATGCAAATGTCCATTTTATCATCTTAAAGCCGATACAACTATACACAAACAAATCACAAAAGAAAAATCGAATTATTAGCAAAGCAGCATTTTGAAGCCAAACAGAAGTTGTGTATTTTTCACAATTTAGTCAAAACCAACATTTTCAATCACTTTCAAAGTTTATTTATAATTCACATTAATTTGAAACTTAATAGAAACGAATTACCTATTTACGCAGCAATATTCAGTCATGTTTCCGTCTTCCTGCTTTCATTCTATCACAACACACACACACACACACACACACACACACGTAATATAATATGTTCTTTTTTTCTTTCTTTCTTTTTCTTTAGTTCAGGGAACTACGGCAGGCCTTCATACCACGATAAATTGTAAATATCCTCTATTCTCAAGCACCTTCGCGAACTCCGTGTTATAGGATTGTTTTATCATGTCAAAAAATGTATACAACGTGTAAGCTAATCAGCCTTTTTAAATATAATTCTGGAGATGCAGTGTCTCTCCAGCTCCCGGTGTTCTGCAACCTATTAGCATCATTTCGTCCATCGAGTTCCATTAATTACATTTGAATGAAAACTTGCGCGGAAGAATAAGATTTTGGAGAGGCCTGCCAGATACTTGCTCCTCTTGGGAGGACCTTTAACCTTCTTAACGGTGGGTATGCAGTACTTAAAGGCTTCTTTTTACTACAGCTGGGAAGCTGGGACGTGCACCTGCCTGCTTATAGTACAGAATGTTCGACATCAGCGAAGTGGCAATTGCTTCATGTGTAGAATGATTACTGTATGCTAATTAAAGGACGAATTACAAAATGTGATAAAAGCAATCTTTTATTTCGAAATATACATATTACATTTCCCCTACTTTAATTACACCTTGTCTGCGCATTGCATCTATTTTAGATGTTAGATTTAACTTATATAGATAAACAATAATATAATTCATTTCCTGACTGTTTGAAGATAATATTAATTCGAAACCATATTAAAGCGACTGAAAATGTCATTTCATTTTAGACAGTGCGTTTAGACAGGACAAAGTAATAACCGTGAGATGAAGGATTTTAAAGAAGGCTGTTTTGAAGGCTGGAGATGTGATTCGTACTTGTTATATATTTGATGAATATTCAAATTACATTTTGAAACACAGAAAGGCATCTAAAGAATCTCCCTGAAGCCTATAAATGTTACTTTATTTCAATATAAAATAATGTATTTTTAACGATTATAATATTTATATTAAAGTTGGTGTCCAAATGAGTAAGGAAACTTTGAAATGTGCGATATTTATGTATTCAATATAGCTACCGTGAAAATGAAAAATATAAACATTTAATGTAGATGCAAACTGCTTAATATTACTTTATAGTATGTTACATAAATGTAAACGCCTTAGGTTAATATGTTGCTAATAGTTTGTGTAAGCTCTGTCTGAATATGGTAGGCCCTATCACACCTGGAGTAATCGTGTTTGATGCTGGTGAAGATTTGCACGTACATCTATGGAAACTTACATGAAAAACATGTAAGATCGCTCATGCAGGAGCAACCTCACTGTCATGTATTATGGATTTTTGAATTTTGTGAGTGACTAATCATCGATAACACAGTGTTTCAAACAAATGCATCTACTGAACAGTTCCCTTAGATGAAACAGCAAATATCACTGATTTTTGTAGCTTTTATTTTTATTTATTATTATTATTTTCATTTTATTTCCATTTGCAATTTATGATAAATGCGCCCCAGAACAAGTAGACATTCAGCGAGACCTAGTCTTGGTGTTCAAGCTGTAGCCTGACAAAGAAAAAAAAAATATGAATGAATATGCCGATCTTAATTAACATAATTGTCCTCTAAATTAATTAAAGAAATAGTCGCGGGTTGTGGAGTATCGGGATTCTATGTATCTTGACTCCTCATTGTAACACATTTACCCCGGAGGAAACTGCAGGCTTTGACACGTGCAACACCAGTCTTATAATTGAAATAAATAGCCTACTTAAACTTGATATCGGATATCGGTGGATGTTTTATTTATGCAAGAGATTTGAAACACTGACTTGTTGACCAGAAATGTATTCTTTAAATAGCCTACTTAAACTTGATATCGGATATCGGTGGATGTTTTATTTACGCAAGAGATTTGAAACACTGACTTGTTGACCAGAAATGTATTCTTTGTATCGCAACAGCTAGGGGCCATAGTTTGGCTCGTGAAGTTAAGATTATATATATACACATTTGTTTGCGTTTTGTATCACATTTCAAGTTGTGCGTTATTGAATGTGATGCCAGTACACAATATCACCACTCCGAACCCGTGTGCCTATAGGCTATACCGCAAAGCAGACATACAACTAATACTGGATACTTTGTTTCATAGTCGGTTCTGTGAAATAATGGGTCAGGACCTCAGCTCTTAGTCCAGGCTCTCTTTCCCCTCGCTGACCCTTGATCCATCAAGCACTCCAGTGGACACATGTGTTTGCCCATTCACTCTGAGGCTTATATTTACGCTCTGCTTTAAATGAGGATAGTTGTTTAAGAAATGCAACTAATTGCAAGGTATAAACCAAACGTGAATTAAAATAAACAGCAGATTAAAGATTCAATTGCGTTTTAAAAAATAACGTTCAAAGGAATACTACACGCCATGCCTTTTATTTTGATGGCAAGCCAATTACCAACAGCTCTTGTCATGCATTAAAGAAGAAGGGCCATAGGTGACAGCTAACTCGCAGCTAAGTCAAACACAAACAAAACTGCACAAGCATGTCTTAGGAATACCTGCAAGTCACACGTAGACACATAAACTCGCTTAGAAACGCGTAATTAGTCAAAGCATATTGAAACAAATCTAAACTCGGTAATATTTGTTTTTCCGCACATTCACCGATTAATGCGGTTGAAAGGTTAATCAATATATTGCACTGAAACAAAAATACATGCGCCAGAATCATTTATGATATACTGAATGATCCTAAAGTAATATGTATTTATAGCTTTAGTAACTAGTGTAACTCATTCATCAGCCACTGTTAGTTTCTTCGATATTTGTTTAGATTATCTTATTATTTTCATTTTTTTTTTTCCGGGACTAACATTACAACTACTAACACGCAGACACACATATACGCAGACACTGTTTTTAGGAAACATATTTGCAGAGACATTCGGCGAGTTCCTAAACTTACATGGATATTAAAACACAACAAGTAATCTAAATTAAATACGGCAAAAAAACAAAACAAAAATGCAAATAGATGTGATTCATTTCCCAGGGCAACCTGTTTCAGTACCTGAGCAGATGTTGTCCAGTATATCCCAGTCCCATTTCTGATGATAGATTTTTTTCACGTGTTCCTTCCCCATTGAAGTATAGCCTACAAACAAAACTTTTTTAGTTTTTCTTGAGTGACTTGGTATACTTGAAATGCTAAGCGGTCGCACATCCAGTGGTTTCTCCAGCATCAGAGTGAGGCGGTTGCTTGGCCCTCGGTCATGCTCTCTGCCTTAATATTCCACAAGGTTGAGTGGCCCTCATTTACCTAATGGATCAGGCGCACAAAACCTTAGACTAGTTTCTCGCTCTGTGAGTCACAAGCCAAACTATATGTGATGCTTCGAACTGGCTGGTCTCAGAATGAACCCAAATTAAACACATCGACAATTAAACACTTAAATGTGATTTGCTGAACGTTTAGTCAGAAGAGAACGCTAGATGTTAGTGCTTGTTTTGCGTTGTACATTTACAAAAATAGTAGAAATGTGCAGTGTTACTAAAGCCAAAAGTACTTAACGAAATGTCACCTTACATAGGCTACTTGCACAGTATATCCAAATGTGTGAGACCAGCATCCACTCACGTGGTCGAATTAGACAGAGGTGTGTTTAACATGACTGAAGGATACAGGCATGTGAATGTTTCTTGTTCCTAAACTTGAAGCAATAAAACATCATAAACGTACAAGCTCGGCTTATCTTTGTTTCCTTGCGCACTTAAAATGTAGAGCCTCGCTTTTACATTTATATGAAGTGCCAAAATTAGGCCACGCAACATGTGCACTGTACACGTGAACTGTAATTTCTAATATCCATAGGCCTGCTCACATTCGTGAGGTTATTGTCCTGGAAAGAGTAATAGCAATTTGAAACAGGTCGGGTGAATTACGTTAAATGAGAGTTTTATTATCTTTACACTGTGGATCTTGATTATAACGATTGGTGCTGAGAAAATACCGCACTTTTTAAATGTTCAATGTTAATTTTTACAATATGCATTCTTCATAAGCTTATATTATTAAGATACGTTTTCCAGCGTTCCAGTTTTATATAGCGATTACAAACTCTTCGTTTAATTAAAAACTTATTTTAAAAAGTAGTTGTACTTCCAATGTCGATTTTATGTGGTCATATTTTTTTTTTACTATGATCGTATTTGGGAGAGACCCTTAGCGCTGCTTAAGACGCATAAATTAGGTCATAGACTGGAGGGGGTCTTCATTGTGCCACTCTGACAGTGCGCACTGGCGCTTATGACTCTCCGAGTGCTCTCAAAGTTGGAAAAAGTACGGAATTCCCTATTGACGCAGATAACAGCGCCTAAAAAAAGCAGAAAAAGTAGACTTCAGACAGACTGACAAACGTCCGCTCAATTCGAGATATGAGAGAGCTTTTGGGGACCATGTCAGACTCGTGAATTGTACGGCAAAAAGGAGAAATGTGACCACTGAAAATGTTCAGTGATAAATGTAATGTGAAACTAGCAACATTTTTTTTTCTCAATTATCTTGCTGAGATGTCAATGACTATTGTTTGCTGGTCCAGGGAGTCGCTCCGCCCCTCATGTTTGTCGTAAATCTGGCGCCTGGCTACAATAAACCTGAGATAAGAGTGGCCAGGGCTCGCCTCCTTCTCCAAGGCGATCAATCGGATCTCAGGCATACTACAAGCGCTCTCTTACGTCGACGTCCACGAGAACAGAGCTGATACAACAACACGGCTGCGCTCCCCATTGGGAGCGTACCGGCAACCTCAGGTGTCCCAGACTGGCATGCAGCAACACTCTATGGGCCACAACGCCACCACCTACCATATGCCACACTCCGTCTCCCAGTTCTCGCACAGTGCAATGGGGGGCTACTGCAATGGCAGCATTGCCAACATGGGGGACCTACCCTCTTACCAAGAAACTATGAGAAACAGCGCAGCAGCAACAGGGTGGTACGGCGCCAATCCTGACCCTAGATACTCAACAAGTAAGTTCTCTTGCATTATTCTGATTTAGCTCTCGACGTGTCGCTCGTTGCTTTTATGTACTTATTTACTGAGTTTCCAGCGAGTTTACGTTCGTTTTACGCATCAGTATCATTGCTCATACTTTGCCTTCTTAGCATTGTCGCTGCTTTTGTTAGCTACTGCTAAATTTCCCATCGTGTAGATTCATGCTTAAGTTAATTATAACTGAAACATTTATATTCGTTGATTTGTGCACGCGTAAATGCTCCATTGTGATGACCATTTCAAGACTGTTGCTGCACAAATTATTACCAACTTAGCCCAACACTGCTACTAATTGAACGGCCGTACATCTGTATGCATATTTTGAAGTTTCTAGATTCATGGGACCTTCCACAGGTATGAACATGACAGGAATGGGCACGCTGACAGGCATGGCCGACACCACCAAATCCATCCCACCTTTCCACGCAGCGCCAAGGAGGAAACGACGGGTGCTCTTCTCTCAAGCACAGGTCTACGAGCTGGAAAGGAGATTTAAGCAACAGAAATACCTCTCAGCGCCCGAGAGGGAACACCTGGCTAGTATGATACATCTAACCCCGACGCAGGTCAAGATCTGGTTTCAGAATCATCGCTACAAGATGAAACGACAGACCAAGGACAAAGCAGCGCAGCAGCTTCAACAGCAGGGCAACCTGTGTCAACAGCAGCAGTCGCCGAGGAGAGTGGCTGTCCCTGTCTTAGTGAAGGATGGCAAGCCTTGTCAAGACGGCTCCAACACACCGACGCCAAACCAACAGCAGATGCAGCAGCAGCAGCAGAACGGTTCCGGGGTCGTGCTTCCTACCTCCAGTAACTCTATGAACCAACACCAAACCCAGCAGGTCAACGCACTGGTCCAGGCCCAAGACCTGGAGGAAATGTCCCCCAGTCCCCCCTCACTCCACTCGCAGATGAACAACATGGGCCAGATAGACACTACTGTAGATTACACAAATAACATGGTCACGTCAAATCTGCTTTATGGCAGAACGTGGTAGGACCGGGCATCTTTTCTTTCCTCCATTTTTCCTCAAACTTTAGCGTCCTCTGAATTAAGAACTGCGAGCCAGGCCAAAAGCAGACGGTGCTTCGCACGCCGGGCATCCGTGTGGCGGGTGATCGGATCAAATGAGCCAGTTTTTGAGGGAAATGTACCACTTTTTAACAGTTTTTGTGGTCACAGTTTTCTACAATGACCCTGCTACTCATAATGGACAAAATAACCGTTTCTAGCATCACGCTCTATGTTTGGGACCTCCTCTTGTTGTTCTAGTAGAAGGCTGTCTGCTGTTAAACAAAATTGCTGCTCCACATCTATGGCAATGCCAGGACACGGGAAGCAATGTTTCATATTCCAGGTATGAACTTCTAGCAAGAACTGGAAAAGTTCCCAGATCTCAGTAAAAATGCCTGAACGTGCGACTGAAGCGACTATTGTAAAAACTAATGTATTCATTTAGAGAAATGAAAAGTAGGGACTGTATATTTGGCTAACACTTACGTTTCTGTTTGCTTGTAATATTAATGTTTAAGTCTTTTCGTTGGTCATTTATTCTATTCCTTTTTTTTTTTTGGTAAATTAAAACAAAGACACAAAGACGATGGCTGCTGTATATGTTTTAAACCAACTGAACGTTAACAATAAATCAATTAAAGCGCACGCCATTGTTGGGGAATTAATGTGTGTAGAGTAATTTCTGTGAAGAGCGTTTTCATTCAAATAATATCTGAAAATACATTTAATATTAAAAAGTCGATGGAAGGAAACTTTTCACTGATTCTGAGAGAAAGAACCCTATATTTAGATACCAACAGTTTTTAATGTCTGCCCTTTACTTTTAAATTTGCGTCCATAGTTAATTATTTACTTGAATTTGTTACAAATTCAGTTACCTTTCCTAATTTAAATATTTCTGAAGCCTACCTTACACAAAAGGTGGTATTAATAATAATAATAATGTGCCACCAATTTATAATTTTAGGTTCTATCAATTTATATTACGCAGAAGAGAGAACACATTTTTTTGTCATCTTTTGGTTCGTTTTATTTAACGTGTCTGACATTTCAGTGGCTTTTCTGTTTGTTCATATCCAAAGAATACATATGTATAGTTACGTCTCATGTATTCAAAACACGAAAATAAAACTGCATACATGTTTAGAATTCTATATTATCCATGTTGTTGAATGCTACTTGAATATACTTAGTAATTAAAGGGCATACATTTAGATTTGCAATAAATAGATCCTTTTAATTTTGTAATAAGCCCTAAAATTATTTTTAATTGTTTTGTTTTTGCATATTTACATTTTCAGTACCGTGGACTTCAATAATAGATTGTAGATTGGCAATAAAAGTTAATGCGAATATAGTCCGAAATTGTTTAACATGATTTGCAATTATGTACCTTGTAAGAATAATTTTGCGCTGCAAGCGATTTAAGCAGACTATAGCTATTTAATTGTAAATATAAAAAGCAGAATGCGAGTTTAAAAACGCTGACCCGCATGCAGTAGCCTAATGAATTATGCGTACCATTACCTGGAATACATGAAATGATCCAACAAGTCTCAGAACGATCGGACAATCATTAAGGCACATCACATAACAGAACAAATACAATAAGAATAAATGAAAACAGGAAAGTGGTGATTGGAACCTTTTTTTTTCTTTTTTGTCTTTCCTGAAAGAGCTATGAGCGTTCTGAAGTTATGTAAAGTGGTTCAGTGACAAGCCCTGAAATTTGAAACAAGACAGTTTTCACTTTTTTTTAATGTTATTTTATATGGAGTTATTTGCAATGCTTAATCAAAAACGATCCAAAGGAACACAAAACAATGCCAGTCGACATGATTCATATTCACATCATTTCAAACGACACAGGCTGAATGTAATGTGAATGATGCTCTGTTTGAATGAATATCTATTGTCCAAATGGCGCAAGAGGGTAGAGAAAACTTTTCAAAGTTACAGTAACCTCCACGAACCCAACTGCAGTTTTTTTATTTGTATTTTTTTTTATAGACTCCAAAACGCACACAACTTTAAGGTTAAGGAAGAATGTATAAATTATTTATTATGTATATCTGCCATGATAGGTTTCAACAAATAACTAGTTGTGGTGATGAAAAAAAGCTATATATGAAATGCAAATGATAATAATAATAATAATAATAATAATAATAAATACATTTAATAAATACACAATGCAAATTCTGTTGCATTTCACTATGTGAGAGAGGGAAAGCACATTAGAGATAGAAATAGGATAATAGGACATAGGATAATAGGTACAATGTTATAATATACTGACAATGGGGGAAGATATGCTGAACCAATTCATGTATCAATGCATCGGTTAATTCAGATATGATGTAGATCTTTTTGCAGATAAAAATTGCAACCACTTGTATCAACATTTTGCTTTAGTTATTTTTTAGTGGAGGGGTGCAAGCATATCTTGTTTATTATAATATAGTTAGTAAAAGCTTAATGGAAATTGATAAATATTCTTTTCAATATCTATTCAATGTCAGGAAAAACACAACATAGAGATTCAAGAGATTTTAGTATTGCTTTTCTCAATCCTGTCATAGCTTTCTTGGAGCTCTATTCTTCCCCACTAATTGCAGGATCTTAACAAATTCTTACCACTGAGTAATTTGAATCCAGCCGGAGGACCTTGTCTGTATTTCCCCTGGCCATTATTCTACTTAATATGTCAAAACGACTGATCTCAGAGAAACCTTTTCAAGTTCTATTGATGTGTCTTTCAGTTGACCATGGTGACCTAGCAACCTGGACAGCACTAATTGGCGTAGGCAGCCTGACGTCAGTATTACAGTTGATGTGGGAACAAATGTGACACTGCTAGAATAGTTTACAGAAGTATATTAACACATTTAGTCTGTTTATTTTTAATAGACATATGGTAAAATTCATTCTCTCTATATATATTAAACTAAAGCTACATATAGTTTTATTACACATGCATATTTTCAAAATCTTAATTTTCTAAAAATTTCATCATACAGACACTTTTGTGACTGAGGTTTTTACGAAGCAGCGAAGCACTCTGACATACTTCAGAAATGGCATTTGAATGTGTGTGATGCCCTACCCCCCACCCTGACACACACACACACACACTTCTGTCTCTGTTGCGTGTTTCCAAATAAAAGTAGACACTCATGCGGTGCTTTGTGAATATTTACTTCAGTGCGCGGAAAAGAGAATGGAATAAATCTCTGAATTACTAATTGAGAATTTTATATTCACATCTCAGGTGGTGAAATGCATTCTTTGGATAGAGGCAGAACACTCTCCTCTCTTTGAGAGCTAAACCTCACTTCACATTTCTCATTGTGAGTGTTTTTAAAAAAGGAGGTATTTATCTGGTATATCGCAGTAGTGCAGGGTTGTGTAGTCTTGGTAGGGCGAGTTGAGGCATTGTGTTTTCATGCAAGTATAAGAAACCATCAGCTTTGTAGTATCAAAAGCAGACTGCGTCCTAGAAAATGCAAACTCTCCTAATCTGAGCCATTTCAAAGTGGGGGGAAATAGACATGCTCCAAAACAATGACAAATATTTCAAGAAGGTCAAGGGACTCGAAAAGCAATTAAACAAATGACAGGGAATTGTGCCATTGCCTTCATAGAGAAGTATAGAATTGATGTATATATGTATATATATATATACAGCAAAAATTATAGTCTTGAAATGTTTAAATCCATTGCTATAACATTCCACTAGCATTGTGCAGGGGATTCACCCCTCTGGATTCTGTTGCATTTCACTACGTGAGAGAGGGAAAGCACATTAGAGATAGAAAATGAGTGAGGGAGAGAGAAAGTTGTATCCCTTATTATCAAACCATGTCACATTCCTCCCAATGCCTGGCTGTGCAGCTCTGGCCGGTCAGTAATCCCTCTTCCAAGTTCCCCATGCATCTCATTCAGGCTGCTTATAAGTTGTTAAAGAAACTGTTTTCAATCACCACTAATAACTACTGACCTCGAGTGACACAGAGCCACAATAGGCTTCCGGAAAATTATAGTCTTGAAATGTTTAAATCCATTGCTATAACATTCCACTAGCATTGTGCAGGGGATTCACCCCTCTGGATTCTGTTGCATTTCACTACGTGAGAGAGGGAAAGCACATTAGAGATAGAAAATGAGTGAGGGAGAGAGAAAGTTGTATCCCTTATTATCAAACCATGTCACATTCCTCCCAATGCCTGGCTGTGCAGCTCTGGCCGGTCAGTAATCCCTCTTCCAAGTTCCCCATGCATCTCATTCAGGCTGCTTATAAGTTGTTAAAGAAACTGTTTTCAATCACCACTAATAACTACTGACCTCGAGTGACACAGAGCCACAATAGGCTTCCGAAGCCTGTGTAGCCCAACCAAAGAAGCTGATTAGTTCTTCAAGAGGTCTAAAGCAAGAATCAATGGCTGGTCTGTCTCTAGCTGCCATTATGGCTGTATGCCATTAGTTATGCCTCATTAATTTCAGCAAACACCACTCCAGAGAAATTTGTTTACCTTTAGACATCTAATATGTGTGATATTATAGACCTTATTGGAATTGGATGGTCTAAAGATTTGGACAGAAGGCCCAAACTGGGCACCAGAAAGGTAAAGAACACCACACTCTGGTTAAATGCAACCCAGTGCTGGGTAAAATAGGGACAAACCCAGCAATTGGGCTGTTTTGACCCAGCGGTTGGGTTAAATGTTTAACCCAACCTTCTGGGTAGTAACCCAACCGCTGGGTCAAAACAACCCAATTGCTGGGTTTGTCCCTATTTTACCCAGCACTGGGTTGTATTTAACCCAGCATTTTTTAGAGTGCACGGACCACAAAGGTGTTTGAAGGAAATGCGATTTAAGGTTAAAAGGCCACAAAAATTTATTTGGATATTTCCTGATTTTTTCTTTTTTTTTCTTTAAAGATGGCTTTTAGTTTAGCATTATTGCAATTATGAAGTTAAGAGTTTCTGTGAATATCCACTATTCATTGTGTACAAGGAGTGCCGATGTGAATGCAGCTTAA